CCTTAACAGGTAGCTCTTCCAGAAAATCCAGAGCCCAAAATGCCAGATCATGTTTTGCACATTAAAATGCCCAAAATTAATCCTTTGCTTCTTTAGGCGGGAACAGCAAAATCTCTGGTCAAACTACAGGACGATTGCTTATCTTGGGCTCTGTTTGGATGAGTGGGCTATGTCCCAGAACTCCACAGGCAGTGCGTTGGCTTGGGGACATGAAAGGCAGCCTATACCATTGTTAAGAATTCTGGAAATGGAAATGCACACATCTGGAGACATCAAATTTGGAAAGATTGATGTAAAGATTCTATAGAGCAAGGTGGCTGCAGGATCTAATTCTGTAAACCTTCATCTATCTCAGAGGTGGGGAACTATGGTCCCTTTATGACTTGTGGACTTCAATTTCCAGAATTCCTGAACCAGCCATGCTGGTGCTGATCTATCATACTAATCATGTCAGTTTTTTAATGAGTTCATGCTGTTTTTTGAAGTCCGAGATCAGAGGCTGGATGTGCCTCATGATCTGATGAGTCCACGCTTGGAGAAATTAAGTGATATTGTGTGGCCATGAGGTAGGAGGAGGAATTGACCTGGACTTCCCCCTCTCTTAAATGCTACACGTGGCTAAAAGAAGATTGTATGTACTACTCATCCTTCCTTCCTATTGGCTTGGATGATTCTATCTAAATAGGGTAAGAGAACCAACATATACATTGCAGTCTGCTGCAATTCTTAATTCTTTGCAGAGCGAAGAAAATTTGACTCTCCTTTGACAGATAGAGAACTGAGGCAGATGGCTTGGGATTCAGCTAAGATTTTATGAAGGTGGGAGTGGAAAACCTGAATTCATTATTATTTAGAAGTTTTATCAAAAAAACTGCTTTTTGATGGCTCACAAACATTTGAAAAATACCCCGATTGAAAAAGATGGATTCACTAAGCCTAGAAAATTAAATAATACATTCTAAGAACAAATACAGTAAATGGGTCAACAGTAGCTAAAAAAAAAAAAGATCAATATTAATGGCTGTTTAAGGCTGAAGAGAACAGGATAAACTGCGCCTGATATCTGAAAGGTGATTGTGCCAGGCAAATATGCTTACAAATGGAGTTTCATAATTGTGTTGCTGTCACAGAGAAGGCCTTCTCACGAAAAGTTACTCACTGGCTACCAGAAATAGGAGACTGCAAAAAGCAGACTCTAAATTATCTTATTCCGTGTAACCAAAATTCTGCAATTTGCCTGGGACAGTGGGTCTTCAGAGTTGGCAGGAGCTGCTTGAAAAAAGAGAGTGGAGGGAGAAGACATCCATTTCTATTTGGAGCCCAGTGTAGAGATCTTGGTTCATAATAAGATGTTTAGGGTGCTCCAGATCTGTTGCATTGGAATTCCCTTACAAATTAAGAGAATTGTGGTTTTGGAGGACACCAGTCTGGGGTTAGCTAAAACCATCGATATATTTATTCAGTGTAGATTTTGTGCAATATCCTTTTAAAAAAAAAAATTAAATTGGGGACAGAGAATCCTTTTTTCTTACCCCCACCCCTTTCAGCTTGCAGAAACAGCTCATCAGATTACATTATCAAGACTCTAAATCTTTTGAGAACCCCAAATTATGACAATTATTTTCAATTCTTTCTGACTTTGAAACCATAATTACTCTTAACTTTGTCCTGCCACATGGAAGGTTTAACACTAAGCCTGCACTCTTTTCCTGAGCTCATCTTTAAATATTCCACAGATATGAAACAATTATCCACCTTCTATTTATCTTCCTATCTCTTTCTTTCCAAATAGCTAATGGTGATCCTATTATAGGCTCAGTTCTTTTCTCTCTTCCTCCCTCCTGCTTCTTTCCAGCCAGAGGACCCATGTCACAGGTCCCGTGGGAAGGAAGATACATCCTATCCCATAGATACGCTGAAATAGTAGTTTCTGAACTGAGTGGTTTACACTTTAGCAGCTGGCCGTCCAGGTGCAAGGAGAAGCCTATATGAACTCTTGCAAAGATATTTTGGGTGTTTAAGCACAAAATTGTTGGCCTTGCATAATGCCTTTTGCACGTGTTTATATAGGTACTGTATATGTACATGTGCATTTACACTCACACACAGCCCATTTATTGTTGCTTTCATTATTGACTCTTCTTTCTGCAGCTCCTTCAGTGAGAATCTAATCATCATCAGCTCGTAACAGAGTCCTGTGTATCCTACACATAGACCTGAGTTGCTCAGCCTCCATTCTAAACTATATTGTGGCACAGCCACAATGTTTTCCCTTACCTTTGGGAAATCTAATTTTGCTTACAAGTTCACTAGAGGAAAGATGGAAGTTTAACTCTATTCTAGTGCTCATGAGAGTGGTTAGCTTTCTGTTTAGCCGCAGAAGAGTTTTTTAAGTGACTTATGTATGCCTCATCTATCTCAGCAAGCATGGTCCTCTGTGCTGTATGTGTTACATATGTAAATGACAACCCATAGAAACAAGTGAGGTTTGTCTTCTTGTCAGGAAAAGATTTGGTGTAAAGAGCAAAGGGAAGGTGTATTGATTCATGAGAGAGGGTGATGGTGGGTGGAAAGCAGGGGAATCCTCCCCATCCCTCTTCCAGGTAATCTCAAATGGTATAGCATGGTGCAGCATATTTTCCCTTGCCCAAAACTGTATGGCTTGGGGAGTATCATTATTATTGATTAGTATTATATTGCCATGATGCCTCTGAATCCAAAGTCCCATCTGTGACGCAACCTTGAGAAAAGCAAGCAAAGTCAGGATGTGTGCAGTAAGAAAGAGAAATGTCAAGAGAGGCACTGAATTGAAAGATAAGATACAATTGGAAAACTCCAGTTAGCTTCCTTTTCTTGAGCCTGGAGATTGAATGGTGTTGAAGGCCACTTGCTTCCTAGCCTCTAACATTCTGTACAGTTCTTCAAGTTGTTAGATTTATTTATACCTTGTGCCCCTCAAGAAAGAGATCTTGCAGGAAAGCCTAATACACGATGACTTCCCAAGGCCATCACTGTGTTTTATGGTTAACTGTAGATTTGATCCTTGCCTCTCCCACATCTGGTACAGAACTGAAATTTAAGACTACAGCAAAGAGCTAGATCCTTCCCATTTAAGTGCACTGAATTTTGCATCCTCAGCCTAAATCTATGGTGTTAAGATATTCACATACAATTTCAACTATTATCCTGCACAGACCCACCCAATTTCTAAACCTAATTTCCCCACCCAATTTCTAAAAGCTATTTTCAGCTGCTTTCAAGTTTCTTAGCATCTTTTTGGATGCTTCAATTCAGGTGTTGATAGCTTTCTTCTCTAGGTTAGAAATCAAGTTCCTCAGTGGTTTGAGGGTAGGGATGTGAGAAAAATAACAGCAACTCGATATATTTTCTTCTAAAGTAAAAACAACCTCCTCCAGGAACAAAGTTGCTGCTTAGCTTGTTTAATTGGTTTGGCTGCATTTTGGAGGCATTTGCTACTGTACAGTTAGAGCTTGGTACCAAATTTCTGCTGTCAGCAAAATGTAGTTGCAATTTATCTGCTGACACACCATCCCTATTGTCCTTGAGGCTGTCATCCCATCCGAGGGAGTTTCTAGGGACCAGTGAGAACTAAGGTGAAAAAACACTTAGGCATCTCTTCATTAAAATACCTGGTATTTTCTTCAGTGGCTTGGTTATATGATCATCATTATTTATTTGATCCTTATACACAAAGTTTTAGATTCCAAGCCCATAATCCTCCCTATCAGTGGGAACATTCTTAAAGGCAGTGGAACCCATAGTTTGGAAGGAAGGTACAGGTAGTCTACAATTGAGGCAAACATTTCTGTTGCTAAGTGAAACATTTATTAAATAAGTTTTGCCCCATTTTATGACCTTCCTTTAACAGAGTTGTTAAGTGAATTACTGTGGCTAAGTTAGCAATGTGATTGTGAAGTAAATGTGACTTTCCCATTGACTTTGCTTGTCAGAAGGTTGTAAAAATGGATCACATGATCCTAGGACACTGCAACTGTCATAAATATGAGCCATTTGCCAAGTGACTAAATTTTGACCATGTGACCATGGGGATACTGCTATGGTCGTAAGTGTGGAAAATGGCCATAAGTCAACTTTTTTTTGGTGCCGTTATAACTTTGAATGATCACTAAATAAATTGTTGTAAGTTGAGGACTACCTGTACATGCTTTAGATGTAAAATATCCAAATTCCAGTATTTACGTCAGGCAGGAAAAGTTATGTCAAATTTCCTTAACCTAGAAGATATAGTTGCCTGTAGTTGTGATTGTCACAGAGATGTGCTGATTATGGGGGTTGTAGGAGAGCCACGGGTTGGGGAATTGTTAGCTTAGGCCAGTGGTTCTCAATCTTTTCTTCACCACAGGCCCAAGATTTAAATCATAACATTTCTTCAAACCCCTCTGATGACATTGCAGCCCTCCAGGGTTCTGTGGACCACAGGCTGAGAACCACTGGTTTAGGCAATGTTGAGGAATGCTTGGAATAAAACTTTGCCTGTCCTTTTCTGGATGGAGCTTTGGCCAGATTAAAAAGTGGAGTTTTCTCTTTGTGTAATCAAGATAAAGTAACCTGCTCTATCAAGAATGTTTGTTCTTGCTGAGCCTTTCATGATGGAAGTAGCACTCTTGGGATTTTTTAAGAGACTCAAGGTTTTCTTCCTAAATATTACTCTCCCCTTTGCTCCCTGCCTCTATCAATTTTAATTTAACTGAATTTTAAAATTAAATTTAAGATCATTTATTCTTTTGAATTTTTTATACTGCCTTTTAATTGAGTGACTATAAATTGCCTAGCGTTGCTTATAGCGAGATGGGCAGCATTAAGTTAAATAAATCAATTCCCACCGTTTTTTGTATTTTTATCTCCTGACTACTGCCCAGTGCTGTTGATATATGTCTGACAAAACTTAAAGAAGTCTCTCTCTCTCTCTCTCTCGCTCCTCCCTCCTCCTCTCCCTTCCTTTCTCTCTCTTTACAGGGGTTTGAATAATTTGGAAGGGGAGGAATGATTTATCAGTTAACAGTTTTTATAGTGTTGTTAAAGTCACAGAAATCCTGTTAACAAAACGTGTTTGGCCACAAGCTTTCTGCATGTGAGGCATGATGCCTCAATTTGTGACACTACCTCTAGTCTAGTGGCAGGCCTCCTGAGTTTTACTTGTTGACACCATCACTTGTAGAATCTTCTCTTGGGCCTGACACAGGTAGAATGGCTGGCCCTTAATGAACTTCAAGATGGGGGGAGAGGTGTTTATCATCTTCCTAATTGAGATCTGGCTTCAGGCAGCCTCAATTAACATAGTAATTGGGCTCAAGGAGACCTAATCTGTTTGTGTAAAGCTTCAACCGCTGGGGAAACAGGAGATGAGAAAAGGGAGGATAAGGTCAAGCTTAGACAGCAGGATGTGCAAATCAGAAATGGATTAAATTCATTGGATTTGGAGTGGAAAGGAAATCTACTCCAGATCATAGTAATAGGAACATACCATATTTTTTTCCCTCAGAATAAATTTTAGGAATCATCAGGGCTGGATGACAGATTACAACATATGATATCCTTGAGAGTGATGAGTTGGTATCAAACAAGTGTGAAGATTCCTTATATTTGTGAGTGTTTTTCTTTGAAGGAAAAAAAAAAAACACCAAAAAATGCCACGTTTTACTAGTTACACTGGACAGCAAAAAGCCCTATATGAACAGATCTGTCCTTATTGAGATAGGAAGATGCTATTCTGTAGGGTTCAAAGCCTCTACCAACAATTTAACTCGTGGACATTTGCACCTTAGTGCAAGTCAGTGCAGTGCATTAACTTCAGCAGCTATTCAGGTCCCAGCACTTGTTGATTGCAGGAAGGAATATGGGGAAGTGGTTTCAGAATGGGCAGGTTGTGTAAAATTCTGAACAGAGGGACATGAAGTAATGTAACGCCTGTATCTCTCTGCTTTGAGAGTTTAAAGAAAAGTAGACTGCATATGCCATTCTGATAGCACCTCTAGAGATCTTTCTCTGCAACCAATAAATGCCAGAACCTGGAGAGCTGGATAGCTAATGCACAGAGTAAATCCTCAACTTACAGCCATTTGTTTGGTAACCATTCAAAATTACAGTGGCACTGAAAAAAGGTGACTTATGATTGTTTTTCACTTACCATCCTTGCAACATCCCTGTGGTCACATGATCAAAATTCAGACACTTGGCAACTGGCATTTATTTATGACCGTTGCAGTACCCTGGGGTCATGTGTTCACTTTTTGTGACTTTCTGACTTTCTTCACTGGGGAACCAGATTCAGTTTAACCACTATTACTAACTTAACAACAGTGGCAAGAAAGGTTGTAAAATGAACCACAACTCACTTAACTGTTTTGGTTAGTAACAGAAATGTTAGGCTCAATTGTCATAAGTAGACAATTTATGGTGTCCCCTCTTCCCAAAAGGAGGTTTGGAAATCATGTAAAACCCCAGGCAGGGGTGGGATTCCACAGGTTCGGCCCGGTTCAGTCGAACTGGTAGCTCTGAGGATCATCTGTGAGCTAACTGGTTCATTCCAATGATCAGCTGTTGCTCCCCCCTTGCTCTGTTCTGACCTTTATTTCCTGGTTTAAGCTCAACTGCTTTGCGCGGCACAGTGGATTGCTGCACATCAGCTGTTTAACACAGAGAGATTGCAGGATAAGGTCAGTAGCAAACCCTCTGTGTGCGTGCAAAGCTCACTGAACTGGTTGTCACAGCGATTGAATCACACCCCTGCCCAAAGAGCTATGACAGTGTTTCTCAACATCAGCAAGTTTAAACTGCAAATCTGGCTGGGGGATTCTGGGAGTTGAAGTCCACGCATCTTAAATTTGCCGATGTTGAGAAACACTGAGATATAATGGTTGCATCTATACCTCTCTGCTCAGAGAACCTAAGAGCAGTTTTTAGTGTAGATTAAGTAGATCACAAACTTGGAGATCTGCAAGTGGATCTCTTCGTATTTGTGCTTTCTTCTGAGAAATCTCCAGTATATCATTCACAAAAACGACTGGGACACGGATGCCACTTCTTTCATCCCCCACCCTCTTTTTTTTTAGTGTTGCTGAAAGCTTCTTCACATGAAGTAAACAAGAAACCAATAAACCAGCTTCCTCCAGTCTGGTATTTTTCAAATATGTTGGAATTTCAACTCTCAGAATTCCCAACCTGCATGTAATCCCAATACATTAGGAAGCCACCAAGCTGTGGAAGGAATAGAAAACTCTACTAAAGCAAAAATTATCTCTTAAAAATAGGTTGAGTGTCCCTATACAAAAATGCTTTGGTGCAATTTCTAGGTTTATGAAATTTCTTTCATCGTTGCTTTGTGACAGCTGATGAACAAAAGATGCTACTTAGGCCAAAAACACATTATGGATGGAATAAGATGCAGGAAGTGCTGACAGGATTGCAAAAAGAGGCAGGGATCCTCTCTCAGTTTTCTTTCATCTTCTTTCAGGTATCCCTCTGCTGGGGTTTCTCTTCGTGCTGCCGCTGACCATTCCATGGGCTCGACTTTCAGAATCATGGCTAGGAGTCGTGCACTATTTGGCTTGCATTTTTCCACAACTGGGCAGCGTGCTTTACCATCTCTTCATGAATCATGAGGGAGGCCCTGCTGTTTACCATACCTTGCTCACCCTGGATATGTGTGGGGTTTGCATGGTCAACACTTTGGGTGAGTTAAAGTGCTCCCTTGTTATCCATGGATGGCTTACTGGATTGGAGCAGCAAAAAAGGGACAAAGTTGCAATCCGTGCTGAGAACACAGCAGGTGTGAAAACGATATTTTTTGAGCTGGGAGCAAGTTGCATAGAGGTTATATGAGCCAAATTGTGTTTTGGTACTTTGAGTACTGAAGAGCCAATCTTTATGTGATGGCAGAAGCCATCTTGGGTAAAAGCTCAGAATGAAGAAAATGTAAGAGGGTGTAAAATTGAGCAGTTTTGGTTATGTTTGGAAAAGAAATACTAATGCTGACAAAAGAAATTGCATTTAAAACAATGAAAAACATTGTCTGTGAATGATTCTTGCATTGTAAAGATTATTTGGGGAAAAGGGGACTTTCTATTGTTGTAAATACAAGACTGTTTGTTCTGAGAGAATCTGAAGGACAGCTGAAATATTTCAAGTGTTACATGTAGTCCTTGCTTCACAACTGTTTACAATAGACTTCAAAAAAAAGTTATGACCCATTATCAAATTTATGACTCCTGCACGCATTCTTCTGAGGTCATATGATCGCATTTTAGCCTCTTGGCAACCAAGCATTTGTGACTGGTTGCAATATCCCGCAGTCATGTGATCACGATTTGCAACTTTTTTTGCCATTTTCCAGCAGAAAACAGCAAACAATGCCCACTGCGTATGCTGGATTTGTTTAATGATCATGTGGTTCAACCAAGTGATTCACTTAACTTCTATATTGACTTGCTTTATAATTGCTATAAAAAGATTGTAAAATTGAATCTGATCACATGCCTTGATTTAGGCCACAATGACTTACAAAATTCCAGGCTCCATTGTGGTTGGAGACTACCTGTAGTGCCTGGACATGTAAGCTGATTGCCGTTGTTTTTATCCTTAATTTCTTGGTGGACTGACTGTCTCTTTCCACACAGGTGCTCTACCAATCATCTACTGCACGCTGGCCTGCTCCCCACTTGTTCGTTCTATTGCCCTGTTGGGCTACACAGGCTTGTCAAGCTATGGTATATTTTGTGCAGTGACTGCTCGTTCCAGTGTCCGGCGCTTACGAGCCTTTGCCTGGCAGGCTCTGTTCCGCTTCTTCTTCTTCTATTTGCGGTGGGTGGGATTAGGCACCGGCCATCCCACCTCTCTGCGTTCATACCTCATTATGGACGGTCTGGCCTTTCTTGGGGGCGTCATCAACATCTCACGAGTGCCTGAGCGCTGGAAGCCAGGCAGTTTTGACTATTGGTTCAACAGCCATCAGATTATGCACGTGCTGGTGGTGGTCAGTATACTCTATCTTCACTGGGGAGTAGTGGCTGATCTTCATTGGATTGCCAACTATGCCTGTCCAAAGGAATGACCACATCATGTTTGGATTCACCCCTTCCACAGAAAATCTGCTGACCGAGAAGTGGGTTATGTATAAGGTGTGAGCCACTAATCTCATAGTTCAAGGTCTTCTACAAGGGTTGAAGTACATAAGAAAGGACATCTTCTGGATGTGATTTATTTAAAAGAGGCTGCATTTTTTCCCTGTGGGGTTAATACAGTAGTTTCCTGTTGGTTGATTATTCATGGATCAGCTTGTCTAGGATTTATATACTTCTCAGTGTAAAGTAATGAATTTCCACTACTTGAAGTTCTTAGATCATTGTGCAGTTCCAAATTACAACAGGCAAACATAATTTGGTTAAAAACAATCTTTATCACTAGTAAGATAGAATCAGAGAAATAATCCACTAGTGAAAATTCCCATCCCATCCCCAACTCTTTTGTTTGCTGTAGGACTTTTTGTCATCAGAGCTGTTCTGGAGGTAGCTTTGATGATAGTAAGAACAAGATTAGTTGCTTCTTTTTTAATTTGCATTGAAAATGAAATGGGCACTGGGAAAAGAGAGGTGTCCTTAGTAGATGATGTTGGAGCTGCGTGCAACTTCTCTGCTTTTTAGAGGCAGTTACTTAAATACTTTTTATCCAGTGTCTTTGAGACACCATGCAATACTTTCTGATTTTTAAAAGGGCTTGTCAGAGACCAGAATATTAAACTCTGCTGCATAATTTGGTTTTTCTTTATCTGCCAGAAGGATAACCAGGGGTCTTGAAACTGGATTTGGATTTGAAGTTGGAAGAGTCCTGATTTCAATTTTGGGGTAATGTCATCAACTTTAGGGCCATGACTCTTTTGCAGCATACCTCAGTTTCCTGTCTCTCTCTTGGCAGTGTACAATGTTTATGGTCAGATTGGAATTCTTTTTTCTGCTACCACATTCCAATTTTACCCTGACCAGAGCAATGCTTTTCAAAGCTTTATAGTTTTGTATGAATTTGGAAGAACTTTCTACTACATTGATATGGCTGCTGCAATTGCAGTAATCAATAGGCAAGCACTGCTATCTTTCCCTTTGTTATTGTCGTGACATTAACTACAGCTTCTACATTTTGCTTCCCTTCTTTCAGTGGTTTCTTGAATTGATCCATTCTGAGGATTTTGCTTTTCAATTTGATCTGTTTTTGATACAAATAGAATCCTGAGATTGATTCTTCCTCTGAAGAATTAAGTTTTTAACTACTGGTCCATGGTCATAATTTTGGGGGGAAAGGGCAATTTTTGAGAACCTAATCAAAAGTGGCAGGTTGAGGATCAAAACAGCATTCTTGCAAACATTTTACAATCCCTTTGAAGTCTTTTGGCTTAAAATTAGGAACTGGGAGAGTTAGCATTTCTTTTAGGTGCTTAAATTTGGCTCATAGTCCTTAGTCTGCTGAACTATACTAGATCCTGATGCATGTAAGACTATTGTCTAAATAGAGGTAAAGTATGTGAGATCTTATAGGCCCTGATAATCTTCTACATCTGAACACTCAAATAATTGTGCATAATGCTACTTTCAATGTAAAAGGGATTTTCAAGTGGAATTTGTTTTAGTGTTTTATGGCAATCTTAAAATCATTTTTTTTTGTTTAGCCTCAAAATACACCTAAATCAAGCAACTCATTCACTATTTGGTAGCCCTTCATATTTTTCATTTTATGTAGATCACTGTAATTTGGCTTTTAAAAAGCTATGTGTAGGGGTTCTCCTTGAAATGGGGAATACTCTATTTTCTATGCAGCACAAGTTACTTCTTATTGTTTTAGTGAGCGAGGCACAGAATATTTAAGAAAATGGTTAAAGTATTTTATGTGACCATTACTGTAAACTAGTTTTCAATGTATAGTAAGCCAACCTACTTGGATTTTAGTTTAATTTATGGTCAAATAAGAAAAAACATCTACTTGTATCTTTCTAAGAATATAAGTGGCAATGAAAACTCCTTTCTCCAAGGAAAGAAATTTGGAAACGGAAGAGGGTGGATGATATTGTGACTCAGCATATCAACTAAAATAAATACATTTCTGATTCCTTTAAAGATCAAAATTGTCTCCTGCAGCACCTGTAAATCCACCTTGTTAAAACCAGCCAGACTGAAAAACAACTATAGATATAGAGACCAATTTTGATTTTTAAAAGAATCAGAAAAAAAAACACCTTATATTAATCTATACAATATGTCAGTTTGGATGTATCGTCTTTCGAAAAGGTAACTAGGATAAAACATGAAAGTGTCTGATGTAACTTAAGCTGAAAAGTAAGTCAAATGAGATCTTGAAGGAATAGAATGAAGGTTAAATTCTTTGTTCTAGGTTGCAAGTAGATCTATGTTATGAAAAGGGAAGCATTGACCTAAACCTTCCATGTTAGAATGTGAATTTTGTGTCATACAGTTATTTTGGGAGAGGGTTTAATCTGCTGCTAATCAAGTCTTGTCTCTTGTTATCTCAGGGTAGATGGACATTGCTGATGTTCACAGCTTCTAAAGTTGAAGTATCACATATCTTTAAAATAAAAGAGCAAGGCATTACATCAAAAAATGCACTTCCTATGGGAGGGAGGGAGGGAGAGATGGGAATTTTAAATACTTAAGATCCAGAGCTTTTTTTAAAAGGCTGAAAAAAAGTTGGATGTTTTATAAAAATTACAAAAAATGTTTAGCGAGACATAGATCAGCTCAGTGCTAATAACCTGCTTATTGAAAATTTAATTTTCAGTTAAATCAGTACAGTCTAAAAATTTCATCGTATTCAGCTGAAAAGAGAGTAAGACTTTGTACCCTGTATTTGCTTGATGTTTTAGAAATTTTACTTTTGGTTTTCAACTAGAATTACATATTTTTATATTTTAAAAGTGTCTACATATATTTGAGTGGAATTTCAGACTCTGGAATTCAATGCCCGGTCAAAAATTTAACAGCTCATTCCTGTTACAATCTAGGCTAAGAGAATAAGAATTAAATCTGTTATGAAACAGTTATATTGGCTAAAAGAAAAAAATGTAGAAGGAACTTTATTAGATCAACTTAAATTTTAGAAAATGAGATGCTAGTTTTGGAATTTCTAAGATCTCTTCATTAGGTAATAGATTAACATAACACAGTGACACAAAATCAGCTCCTGAACATATTAGTTGAAAGAGTTGTGACTGGTATTTAAGGTATTTTTACTTTAAATTTTGTATCCTGGAACTTATTACTGAAATTTAAAATCAGCACTGGAAAACTCCATCTGTATATTCCAATAAATGGACACATTCATTTTGTCTATGTAAAAGAAATAGAGATTTCCCAATAGGAGCCACAAAGTATAAAACCTATTATGCTTTGTCACTTATTATTAGAGGTTAAATCAGCTTGTCAGTACTGATGTAAACAAAAAGATGCTTATTGCCCATTTCATGCTATTTAGGCATGTCCTTTTCCTTCTTTTCTGGTCATTCCTGCTGACCTTTTCTGTTGTCTCTCTAAAAAGCAGGATATAGCAGTACTTGCTGGTGGTTTGTCAGAATTATATAGCAGAACTAAACTAGACTGCTTAGCTAGCAATGCTGTAACCTTATCATTTTTACCAAGTTAATGTCAGACAGAAATCATCTAATAACAGAATGATGGCATCAGTGTACTTTTTTGCCCCTTTGCTGATTAAATAGCATAGGGCAATCTGAAAGTTCACATATATTGCCTATTTAAGGGAAAAGAAGTAAAGAAAAAAGTAATTTATTCAGTGACTTTTTAACTTCAGTTTGGGTTACAGTATAATATAGAGTCAGCCAACAGATGAGAAATACTGCCTGCAACCAGATTGTCCCTCTCTTCTTCCTGTAGTGCCTTGGTTGGCTGCTATTTTTCCTACTAGCAGATATGCAGAAGGGAAAATACAGCCAGAAAAATAATCTGCTTTGGTTGTGAAGTATTGCATACATAAAATCAAAGTAGTGCCATTCTTCTATTTTTCCTACTAGCAGATATGCAGAAGGTAAAATGCACCAGAAAAATCATCTGCTGTGGTTGTGAGGTATTGCATACATAAAACCAAACTATTCTGTGAGCCAGAATAGGTACCACAAAAATGGGACAGGTATTGGAAACTGGTGGTAAATTTCATGCTGACATTGTAATTTTTTTTGTAGGAGCCTACATGAGTCTACAGTTGGATATTATAAAATAAGAATACATGCATCCTAATTATATCCTAATAGGAGCTCACTAAAGTAAAATGAATAAGCTTCCAGGAAAGCACATTTTTAATCAACCAGTCACTTTTTTCTCTACTCAGTAAGAGTAGGCATCTCATATAATCTGATTGGAAAATCCCGAAACCAAGAGACAAAATATGGGGAGCTAATAATACTGTGCAGAGTTTACAGTCACTTCTCTATAAAGGTCTGTATTTTCAAGATTTCTTCCATTAAACAAGAAACTCAAATAGCTTCCCTCATCATCTATTACACTTGGCTTTAAATAACATCTCCTTTAAGTCTTTTTTTTTTTTTCCGTAAAGGAGTTTTACTTTATAGTCATATTTTTTAAAAAGGAAACAGACCAGTTAGTGAAAATTCTGAATGCTTTTATTATCATGACTTAAACTACCACATTTGTAAATCCCCAGAATGAAAGAGTAGTCCAATTCCACAAATGACAAAAAATCTTTGGGATACAAACACAAAACTTATAAATGTATGCAGAAGGTATTCAATCCTTAAATTTGTATAAAAGTAGGATGCCTTTTCTATTAAATAGTAACAGAGTCATCTGCTTTCTACTGATTGCCAGCAAAATAATATTCTTAAATTATAAAGCAAAAAAATATCTCAAAAACAGCCTCATATATAGATAAAATCTATACACAGTAAAGCATCTGTGAAAACTTGCCTTTCCTTTGCTAGTCTGAACTCAGTCAAAATTTGGTACCGCTCAGCATATTGACCTCTAGCATAATGCTAATGACAAGAGCTTCTTCCTGTTCCAAAAAAAGGGCCTAAGCGAACCAGCAAATAAATATAATTTCCCCATCAGCTCTGACATTTTTGCTCAGATGCCAGAGAATCCTCAAATAAGCTTAGCAAATTTTTTGGCTCAAAAGTGGAGCATTGATGTAAAACAGATTCCCATTCATCTTCATCATGTGTTGGTGTATGTTGCAATGTATTCACAGGTAACATATTTGATGAAGTGGGGCTGCTGCATGAGGACTTTAGACTAATGCAACTAAGGTTGGGACTTCCCTGGAGTGTAAAAGACCTGTGAATGATTAAAAAAAAGTTAAAAAAAGAAGAAATTATGGAAACCTAATAACTTGGCAAGAAAGAAACTAAAATATTTGGCCTCTCCAGTCTCAAACTTCAAAATACCATACTTTTATCTTTTACTGAAGAGCTGAACATGCAACTGAAGTATTAGGCCTGGCTAAGTCATCAAGCATTCTTATTATTATTTTGTATCTTCAGTTTGCAGGTGACTGCAAAAGTCTCCAGACATTTACTGACTGGTTTTAGACAAAATAAGTCTTGGTTTAAATAATAGGACTTTTACACAATCCTGTAAATCAAAAGAAACCAGATTATATTTGGTTATACATATATGAAAACAAATATTTTTTATAGTCATTGCTTCAATAAATCTCACCTGCTTTTCCTGAAACTAGTCTGTTGGGGTGAGGGATGCCGCGGAGTGGAGGTGCTTCTTGCACATGGGGATATGGTAAGGAGGGGGGAAACAGGCTGTCTGGAAGAAAATAGGAGCTTTTACCACCAGGCTTAGCAGAATTCTGACAAAGATAATGTTGGAGAATGGGTGGGGAGTTCAGACTAACACATATAATAAATGATGCACAACACGTTTGAACAAGTAAGCTATATTAGTCATTTGTTCCCTCTTCCTTTCATTCATCATTCAAGCTCTAGGTGTATAACAGCTGTTTTGTCCTTCAAGAAAAAAGCAAGTAATTTCCCCCAAAAGGTGAATTTTTAGCCAGAAATAATTTGAATTATCAGGGGATAATTATTTTTCCATAGGACAGTTAGCTATCCTTAGCAATTAAAGATGAAATTTTGTTGAAAAGCTGGATGAGTACTTTCAATGATTTTTTAATGCTTAAGCAATAATTGATGACAGCATTTCATAAGCTAAAAGTATTTCCTAATAATTAGAGAAAATATCAAAAGAGCTATATATTCTCATATGAAAAACAGAATTGGGTAAGTTTACTAATGTCGTAAGTTGCCTTCAGGCTTGGGTTGGTGTTATGGAAAAATCATTATGACAACTAAAACAATGGAGGATACTGCTACTTGGAATAGTAAGGCAGTTTCTCAAAGACTTGGTGCTATCAATTTGAAGCTCTTCCTTGTCAGTTATGCTCCAGGCAATAAATTGGGTAAGGCTCTTTACAAAATGCTTCTTCAAATGCTTTTCACAAGCCTAATTGCTGTCCTCTATTTTGGGTTTCAGAGATTGCTAAAACCAAAGATAAGGTTACTGCATGCAGTTGAAGCGTTAGGGAATTAAGAAGTTCTAAAAAAGATGAGTGAATGGAATTTACTTCATGTTATTAATTCATCAATTCCAGTATCAGAAAAGATTTTTTCCAATGGATTTTTGAGATTTGACCTTATTTGTTTTTCAAATTAGGCAAGCACTTCACTGACCTTAAACACTAGGATTCGTCTACCACTATTTATAATATATCCTGATGCAGGCCACTTGTTCATGTTCACTTTCTACTTCTGCCACATTTTGAGATAGGTAGAAAAGCCTCTCTTTAACTTACTTATCCAAGGACTGCAGCTTCACAGGGCAAGTGTGATTATGTCGTTCACTTATCTCTGAAGGCTCAAGCACATCCTCACCAAGGCTCTCTTCATCACCCTTATTTTCTCCATCCCACTCACTGCTGTTTTCCAGGGGAAGAAGATATGGTGAATGTGGTGGTGTAGCTGGAACAGTTGGATGCCAAAAGAGCAACCACTGAGTTGGACTGCACACAGCTCTCCAGAGCCATTGCATGAACCTGAGGAGAGTCTGGAGTAAGCAAAAGGAACAGATCAAACACTGAGAAAGAGATCAGCAGACACACTATGCAGAAAAAAAATCATGAAATGTAGCATATCTTAAATTTGACATTAAAACTGAATATAGGAAAGGGTTCTAGTATTAAATAATATTTCATATAAATCAGTGAATTTACTAATATGTGCCAAAGAAATCAAAGAATTCAAGGAGAAATAGAACCAGTTCAGTTTCAATCACAGGTAAAAGTAGCAGGTTAGTAGCAGTACTAAAGTAACAAGTACAGAACAGAAGTCACCATACAGTTATACGGAAAAGAGTGCTCTGGCAGCCCTATGGAGTACTTATTTTTAAAATGTTGTTTAACCAATTTTGAAGCAAACATACATAAAAATGAACAGTCACCAAAGAGTATGTGGTTAAAGGTTGCTGTAGAATTTGGACCATAACAATATCTAGTTAAATTCATGCTTACTTTGTACATGGAGACACACTGCTGGATCCCAGATTGTGCTAATAGCACAAGTTTTCGTCGCTTCTGAGTTTTCTGCATGAGACTAGAATTAAGTAACATCTCCACCGAGGGCCGGAGAAGATGATCAGGTTCCAACATGGCAACTAGAAGTTTCTGCAGTTCAACTGAGAGACCTGAAATGGATAGGAAGATTCAGTCACCTATCTTTAATTGTGTGGCATAGTGAATTTTTCATTTCAGCAGCTTCTTCACTTGATTGTTCTGCTGTTCAGTTTGCCTGCTTAAGAAGATTGCCAGCAGAATTCTTGCACTGTAGATTTTACACACAGATGTCCTCTTTGCCACTGCTTACCTGCAGTGAATTCAGGAGGCAAATAACCTTGTCGAAGTTGCTGCCAACCTTCACCTCCATTGGGGAGCTCCATATTACAGGCAATTTCTAGGATAGTTATGCCAAGACTGAGAAGACAGAAAGACATAGATCAAGTAACTGAAGTAGGCAGCACTATTAAGCCATATCACTGATTTTTAATACCCATTGTTACCAAAATTTGAGGCAAAGGAGCAAACACTATGCAAGAGTGGCCATTCCTAGTACCAGAAAATCTAGCTCCCATCTTCTCATCACATCCCGCACCTGAAGACATCAGCAGCCTTGGTATATTCTCCACGGAGCAATTCTGGGGCCATGTAGCGTGGATCCCCTTCTTGAGCATCTCTCAGATCCCCAGAGTCCAACTCCAGCATTAGCCCAAAGTCGCCCAGCTTGCAGATATTGGTTGATGATACAAAGATGTTAGCTGGCTTGATATCCATGTGTAGAAGATTACGATCATGTAAATGGCGCAGTCCTTGAAGCATATCCCAAAGAAAGGTCTGAACTTGCCATTCAGACAGAGGGCCATATTCCTCACAGTACTGCAACAGGGTGCCCGGGCATAACTCTGTCTGGATGTACAGCTGACCACGCTCCTCCCAAGCCTGTATAAAGCTCACACAGTTGGGATGGTGCCCCACATGCTCATGCTTGCGCACCTCAGCCAGTTTGCGCTGCCTGTCACCCTCACTCCGGAAAGGCTCCACAGAACGCTTCACTGCATACAACTGACCATCTTCATGAGACCGTACCTATAAGAGAAGAGTGAGGAACTTGGCCAATCCACAGAAATGCTTTAAATTACAAACCCTACCTGATAATCCCAACAACCAAGTGAGGAGTGGTACAATTTTGTGCCAAGAACATTAAGTTTCTCTGACAGGGAGTAATCTTTATATTATGTAGTTAGACAGCAAATCTTCCATTTGGTCTAATTGCTAAGCCAGCCAAAATTAAATCACAAATATTTAACATACCATCATCTGAAATGCAAAAATTTCTGCAAGTACTTTCAAACGAACTATTACACAAATTACACTTATAGGTTAATTATCTGCTGCCTAAACAAAAGTTCATTTTGTTTCTTTGTCTGCCACATGCTTCAAAAAGGTTTGCAAGTAGAATATGATCCCAATAGTTTTCTTCCAGACACTACGTAGGCCTGCAGAATGTAGAATTTCCATGTAGCTGTCCCAACTACAATCCATTAATATATTTCCATTAATTTATGTAATCTTATTTTCAGCCACTAATAATTACTTTATTATTCCTTACCTTATATACTTCTCCAAAAGATCCTCCTCCCAAATAGCTGAGTTTCTGAAAACATTGCCTGAAAAACAACTCTCTTTTAGAAGCATCATACAGATGATTATGTAGAGGCAATTTCTGCTTGTGCAAGCCATGGAAGGAAACACTACGTGGCTGAAGCTTTGTCCAAGATTGCAGACGGCGATCAGAGAAAATTCGACTCACAGTTAATGTGTTCTTGTGGCGTGGCCGTGGAGGAAGGGTATAGCTCAGTGGTTGGCGGGTCTTTTTGATGGAAAAACTGCATTCTGCTTCCTTGAAGTAGGCAGGCACTGGCAAAGGAGTATGGCTCAACTGAGACACAGCACCTGAACAGTCAAGAGGTACCGGCATGTCTGAAAGTAGAAAGTGCAATGAGTAAGATTATGCAATATTTTCCTTTATAGCCTAAACCAGAAAGCATCAAGTTTTGGTGCTAGGCTATTGAGGTTCATCAGTCATAAAAACTGAATGTAGGCATGGTCACAAAGTATTCCTCATATTTAACCTAACTGGAATAATATAGATCATGACATATATTGAATTTAAACTATCTTTTCAAACAACGTAATAACATATTAAAGAGAGAGATATTGTTACAGCCAGTGACCTAAGTTAAAAAACAAAAAACCAATAAAATGTAATAAGCATTCTTAAGTTCTTTACATTAACTTGTATGAAAGTAAATATATTTAACAAAACTATGAAAGTCATAGAGCTAATATAAATAACCAAACCTATAAAGCCTATTAGCTATGCATTTGTCTGTTTTGTTTACCTCTTCCTTAGTTAGATGCACTTAAAAGGCTAAAAAGAAGGAATAAAGTAAGTAGTAGCATATTTAGAAACATTACAGGATGAAAGACTTCTAATGATATTATGGGCCAAACAAATACTTGTTTATTTCTAGCTTACAATTCTGGAAACAACCTTTATTTTGATATTACTCATTTCTATGCTTTCAGTTCTTTTTTGTAGTAAGATTCTCTTTATTTTGTTCTTTAAAAAATCCTTATCAACTAAAAGCTTTAGTAACAATCATGCTTTTCAATCAGTACTAGATTTCCATCTGACACTGTTATCTCCAAATCCTGCCCATTTGAACAGTATTTCAGATAAGATGGATTTCATCTATCTGCTGCAGGTACCCAGGATCCATCAATAACTGTCATGAAATTTCTTAGTGATTCTTGATAACACATGTGACATTCAAATGAAACTAACAAATATGATTTGTTAGTTTCTAGAGGCAATCAAAGCACAACTGTCAGCAGAAATATAAATTGAACAAACAATAAATGGAATACAAGTTGGAGAATATAAAAACTTTCAGATATTGATTTATTCCACCAGTTCTTTGCTTACATAATCCATCATAAGTTACTTAAATTAAAAAAAAGAAGAAGAAATCATATATGCTTTTTTGCGATATGTTGTACTGAAAATAATGGGGATTCCTTTAAGGTAGGTTGGAGACGACCGGTATTCTAGCCCACATGACTAATGGGGTATGGGCTATAGATTTTTCCAGAACCGTAACTTACCCTATGACCATGGGTCACTTTTTAAAGTCTGAATTGTTTTACAAAATTCTAATGCACATAAAACTGAATTCCTCTGTACAAGAACTGTGTGCTCTATTTTTTAAAAGAGTTAAATAAAGGCAGAATGAGGAAATCATTCACTCAATAAATTATTTATTCCCCTTGAAAAAAAAACCAAAAATTTATCCAACGCACCCACAAACAGCCCACTTTTTCATCGATAACACATCAAATGAAAAAGGAACATTTGTTTCTCCAATCTTAATACATCAGTCCTAAGCTTTTGAAACTTTTCTGCTTTCTTGCACGATTCTTACCCATCAGCATTAATGCTAATGTACTTGGGATTAATTCTTCCCAATACCTCTTGCTATATTCACAAAATATACTGTCCCATTACTGATTCTGATTTACTTAACAAATTCTAGTTGTATTGTGGGTTTTCAAAAATAAAACCAAAACATTGGCTTGATTAAAATATGTTTGGCTAATGTATTATGTGAATATATATTGACTCACCTTTTTCTGTAAGTCTGTTTTCAAAGCTATGTTCCATGAAATCTTAATTTCCTTTAATCCCAACCTCTAATGTGATTAAAGGTAAATAAGCAAAACTGAAACATGTGTATTTTCCACTAGCCATTCTTAATTTGCATTCTCTTCCTCTAAAATTCCTATTATTCAGGGACTTCCGGGTTGAGCCCTCCTCGCTGATAGACAGTAGATCGCGACTGTCCGCAGCTATGGTCCGTGCTCTTTCGTCGGAGAGCCCCAATCATTGCGATTAGGGGCTGAAGCTGCCTTGGAGGGGCGGTGGAGTAAGGGGAAGCCGCAAGCCAGGTTGAGGGGAGCCGCATCTCCGCTCCTGGGCTTGGTCTTTTTCCCCACAAAGACGACTTAAGCGGTGGTCCAAAATGGCCACCCCGAAGAGGAGGACTCAGCTGGACTAAGATTTGTGCAGGAGGGAAGAAAGAGGTGGATAACATCTGAACCGGGACAATTGGGTGAAACAACTAAACAAAAAGTACCCCGGGATTAAGGTAACATTGAACTTTTAAGAAAAGAAAAGTAAGCGGCGGAAATACAAAGGGACAGGAAAAAAAAATAAGAAAATAATTTTGACAGCTAAGCGGGGCTTCAAACCGGGAAAGGAAGAAGCCGGAACTAAAGACTTAATTAAATTGGACTAAAATATTTCAGCAATAAACAGACATAAAATAAAGCTGGACTTAAAATTGTCAAAAAAATAATAATAATAAAATTTACGAATTGGAGGCTGGATTGTGCTGGAATATTGAGGTTCGAAAAACCCTAAATAAAAAAATAGGGGGAAAAGGTAAGGACTTTGTATAACGGAGAGTGCCATCTTCTGACAAAAACTTGAACTCAAACAAAAGGGAAAGCATCCTGTTTCTGTATGAACTTGTGTTGAAAAAAATGTTAAAGAAATATTGAAACAAAGTAAGAATCTTAGAAAGTGAAAGCTGAACCAGAATAAAGAAAGAAGCAAGGAAAGACTGATTGTGGGATTGATTGACGTTTTTGGTATAGACCCCGGGCTGGAACAACTGAGAACTTTAGAAAACTGGAAGAAGAAAGAAGGAAAGTAAAAGTGTTTTTTGTGAACTTCAACGATTATAAAATATAAGAGTGTGTAATGATATCTCTTCGCGAATTAAAAATGGAACTTAAAAATATGAGAGTACTACTACAGGAAAGAGGCGAATTACTTTGCTCTGTGTTAGAAGAAATGGAAATGGCGATTGAAGAACGAAAGAACTTTAGAGGAGGAGGAGTTGATTCAAGAAGAAACCATCTTAAATAGACAATTAACACAAAGAACACTACAAAGACGGGGGGAAAGAAGGAAGGCTAAAAAGTTGAGATTTAAGAAGGTAATCAAAAAGGGGAATACCTGTGAAATTAGGAGAGGTAGAAAGTTCCAGCAGAAAAGGGGAAAGGAAGATATCAAGAAAGAGAGGGATATAAACCAGAATAAGAAAAGATATGGGGAAAAGAAGGCGAGGAGAGGCAGTAAGAAACAGGTGCGTGAAATAAAGAACTATGGAAATAGTAAAATGATGAAAAGAAATAGTTTTTTCAGAGATAATGGTTGAATTAAAAAGGGGATTCTGCAGGGTGACAAGGGGTAACAAGAATATATTTGCAATTTAAAAAATACTTAGAAAATAGGGTAATATAGATTATTAAAGGAAGGATAGATACTAATAACTTTTATTAGTTAGTTTTGATTATTCTCAAAAGAAATTATTAGTTTTGATTATTCTCAAAAGTTAAGGTTTATTGAAGATATTGTAATAATTGAAATGGATGTGAAGATATTTAAAAATGAAGTTAATATCAGTGACCAGAAATTGAATAGTCAATTTTTCCCTTTTACTTCTTTTGAAATTAGAAATAAAATTAAGGGGGGGAAATATGTTGTGGAATCCAAATGAAAAGATGTAATGATTATTATTGTAACTATTTAAAAATAATGGTTTATTGGGAATTAAGATGAGGGAATAAAGGTATATTTTAACCACTGAGGTGTCACACTCAAAGCAGTAAAAGGGGGGAAACCTATACTTGTTTCTTTTTTGTGTGTGTGTTAAACCTTGTATTAACCTAGAATCTATAGAAAGAATGTGTGATGGAAAGAAAATATGACAGATTAAAGAACTACTTAAATTAATAAGATAACACAGACTATTAAACAGAAGGAGAGACATTGGTAACTTTTTTTTAATTAGGCAAACATATATTGTTACTTTTATTTTTAAAATAAATATTAAAGGATTATATTTGAAATAATTGAAATGGAACAAAAAGATGTTTTGATAGAGATTAATGTAAGAGACTAGGATTAATTTGCTTCCTTCTCTCCTTTCGGAAAGTTTGAAATGGAAAAGGTAATAATAGAATTAAGTATGCATATATGAATATATAACTATTGTTATATTTGTATGTAAAAGCGATGACCCAGAAATATGTTGTCCACTAAAAAGAGTTTTTTGTTTTTATGTGAAAAATTGAATAAAATTTATTTTAAAAAAATTTATATTATTCTAAATCTTGATTATAAATTTCTTTGGGAAGATAAGTGGACTTACAATTTGTGACAGTACACAAAATCAAAATTACCTTTGCGTTGAGCTTCTCTTGATGACTACAGAACACGAATCCTTGCAGTATTTTTAGTAATAGTTCCAAAATGGTTGGCCATTGCCTTTTTCAAAAAAGATTTTCCAATTTAACCAACAACTCTAGTACTATTTAATAGCTTCCCATACAAATACTAACTAGAACAACCGCAGATCAGCTTCCAAGTCTTCACAAAGTCAAGCAAACACTGACATCTGCTAACTAAAACATAAGAAATTCTGCTAGGTACAATATTCCAATTGTAACTTTCAACAGTCTGACTTCCTTTTGTTGGAAGTATTGGACAAACATCATTTCATCCTAGCCATTTGGCAATTAACTGGGAATGGTGAAAGCTGTCGTCTAGCGGTCTGAATGACACCAAATTGAAAAGGTCTAATATATAAGGGAAAACATAGATAATATAACTTATGTAACACAGCTGAATTCCTAAAGCTGGAGTAAGCCTCCAGTTCCTGTCATCTGCAGCCAACCTGATTGTGGCTGTATTTGAAAGAGACAATGGGAATGGAACACATACCTTATTAGAATAGCATTATTTACATATGTAGATAAACTGTGAGCCCATTTATCTTGTCCTTTTTTCCTCTAGGACAGGGGTCCCCAACCACCGGTCCGCGGACCAGTACCGGTCCGCGGAACAAGTCCTACCGGGCCACTGGTTGCTGGGTGCCGCCATCTTTTTTTGATGAAAAAGTGCTTCCGGTGAGCTTTTCCGGGTAGAAAGCTCACCGGAAGCACTTTTTCATCAAAAAAAGATGGCGGCGCCCGGCTGATGCCGGTACCGGGCCGCGGCGCCCAGCTGATGCCGGTACCGGGCCGCGGCATAAAAAAGGTTGGGGATCACTGCTCTAGGACAGGTGTCGCATGTGGCTCCTTGGGCCCTGTGCTATGACTCCCTGTCCCATCACTGGCTGGAGTTACAAAGAGAACGAGATACAGAGGGGGGGGGGGCAGAGAGACAGAGAGAGGGGCAGAGAGATAGAGACATAGAGCAAGAGAAGGGTTTTGTGGCTGAATAGATGTGGCTATGGGGGTCATGTGACTGGGCAGGATTGAGTCACATCAAGTTGGCCACGCCCACCCAGGTTTTATGGCTCCTGGTGGTTTTTTTCCAGGTCCAAATGGTTCTTTGAGTGTTTTAAGGTTGCAGACTCCTGCTCTAGGAGTTCAAGGGTACACCAAGAACTTCCACCAATTTTTACCTCACCGCAACCCTGAGAGAAAGGTTGGAATGAGGCAATTATTGGCCCATGTATTTCCTTGGCCAAGGGGAGAATTGCAGCTGGGTGTTGTCTCAAAATTCACAAATCTAAGTGCGTGTGGACCTGAATTTGGGAGAGAACCTGAGGGTGGTGGTGGCAAGTCTTTTTATAGAATATAGGAACAAATGATACATATATTCAGTATATGAGATATGTTGATAAGTAAACGATCAATCAGTAAAATACACTGACTGCCTGGGAAGTTTGAATAATGGGAAACATTGATTCTGGAAAACATTTCACAAGTGACAAATTTATGGATTAGATTACTTTTCCCCAGCTAGGTTAATATCGTTCTTTGAAAGTTGCAAGTGTATTCAAGAATTTTGAGAATGAGAATATGCTTTCTATTTGTAGCTGCTGAAAAGGCAAGTTCTCCCATGCCAAAAGAAATGACCTTGTCTAAAAGGAAAAACATGCTTTCTTACACATTGAGGAGGCCCAGACTGTCATATTAAATAAGATAAGGTAACCATTATTGTCACTTTTTTCTGTGAACACAATGGCACACATTACACACACACCAAATGTACCAATATCGCCTTTTAAAATGCTAACAAAGAAGCCTAAAATTTGAGGCAGCAGGGTCGTCCTAATAATTTAATCACAGCCACCACCCTTCGCCAACCTGCCGAATTCCCCTTCACAACCACAGCGACCCCCTATATCTTCTTCAAAGAGCCTCCGGCAGATTGTTTGCACCCTTTCCTCAACAGCATAGTCGATTCCACCAACCACTTCCCTTCCCTCTCAGAAAAACGTCGGGGAATCTCCTACCTCCTAAATTCGGAGTCGCGAAAGAAGAAAAGCTCGGATTCTCCGTGGGCTCCCAGACGCAGCAATCCCGGGTTTTTTCCGCTCAGTCCCCCCCACCGCACCTCCTCCTCCTCTCCCTTCTCTGAGGAGCGCGCCAAACTTCGAGAAGGGAACCCAACGCTCCGCGCTCGCGCCAAAATTCCAAATGGCCTCACCCATTTCCGACTTTTCATCATAAACGCGACGCGTATGCGCATGGGCAGACGTCCGCTCTCTCGCGCGCGCGCTCTCTCTCTCTCTCCCCCCCGCCCCCCCTAAAAACCCTTCCACCAAAGAGACTTGATGTCCGCACGCTTGGCAACTGAATCCCTCTTTTATAATGCCACTTGCGGTCGGCCTGAGATTCGCGTGTTCCTTGTTTCGTTTGTCTCGCGCATCTTCTTAAAAGACAACTATTTATTTATTTCGGGCGCCATCGTTCTGTGTTTATATTGTTTTTATCGTCTGCTGCAAAACTCAGGACCATCACAGGGTGGCGGCAAAGAGCCAAAAGTTATGTGTTTTACATAAATATAGTAGCCTTAATTAAAAGAAAAACGTTTGCTGTGCTCAGTTGTCTGTGGTGAAACTTTAATAAAATGGTTTGATTTCTTGATGCGCTGGCTCTAATTGTTTCAGTAGAGCCTTATTTCGTTATTATTTTATTTATTTATTTATTTGATCTGTCAATTGCTTACAAGATAATAGGTATAAGTATTAACATAGTTATGAATACATGGATACATATAAGAAAAAAAAAAGAATAGGACAGGGACAGTAGGCACGTTTGTGCGCTCATGCACGCCCCCTACAGGCCTCTTAGGAAAGGGGTGAGGTCAATAGTAGACAGTCTAAGGTTAAAGTTTTTGGGGTTTGGGGAAGAAACCACAGAGTCAGGTAGCTAATCTAAATCTCCTGGCACAGCAGAACAGATGATGGTCGGAAAAAGGAAAATAGCAATTTTAACAGGCAAGTTTGCCAGATAAGGAGTGAGTGGGCGGGGAGGGTTCCCGCTGGCCATGTGGGCAGAGCAGCCTTGTGTTTCTGCGCAGCCTGGATTAATTGCTTTGGGGGGTGCTCTGGGGGTGAGATTTCTCTGCAGCCCACCAGAATTTTCTCAAGGCCCACCAGGGGGCCATGGCCCACCGGTGGGCAACCGCTGCTCTAGTTAGTAGTGTGTTTTGGTTAACAACTCTTAATGCCTTTTTGGCTATGTAGTTACAGTGGTCTCTAGCACTTAGATCATTTGAGATGAGTACTCCAAGGTCCTTGATAGAGTTTGGATCATCAACAAGGTCTTGACTATTCAGCTTGTATTTTATTTTCTGATTTTTTTGCCAATATGTAAGACAGCATTTATTTGTTGAGATTTGAAGTTGCCATTTGTTTGACCATTCTGATACAGAGTCGAGGTCTTTTTGAAGGGTAATAGAATTATCTGTGGTGTTGAATAGCTTTACATCATCAGCGAAGAGAATGCAATTGCTCTTAATATGATCACAGAGGTCATTTATGTTAAATATTAATACCATGAAAAAAATATCTAAAAGTCTTTGCAATATTTATGCTATGTCTTGTCTCTGGGAAAAAATAGATCAGTTTGTATCAGTAGGGTTTAGGATTGTATTATTAATTTTTTAAATTGCAGATATTTATTTCTAAAATATATTATCTGCAGTATAGATCTTAGACTGATAACAGCTTATGTGGATGAAAAAGAAATACAGCAATTGACAATTGCTAGGTAGTTGGAACCAGATTGAGAGCCAGTGTTGTATAGTGGTTCTGGCATTAGGGTAGAAACCTGGAGATGTCTTAAGCACATAGCCAGCTGGTTGACTTGGGCCAGTCATTTTCTTCCTCAGCCCTAGGAAGGAGGCAATTGCAAACCTTTTCTGAAAAACCTTGCCAGGAAAACCAGAGACTTGCCAAGTAGCCTCTGAGAATCAACCTGATTAAACATGGTTAAAGAGAAGAAGAAAAAAAGAGCATCTGATAAAAAATTAACATATTAGACTTTAGGGTATAAATCCTAAGAATAATTTTAAAAAATAGAGCATACCCTATGCTCTTTTGGCAGTTTTAAGATAGTTTGCATATTATGAGAAGTTTGAAAGAGCCACTTCAGTGTACTTGTTAAGGTGCTGGATTAGAAATAGTGAGCTCAAATTCTCTCTTCAATATGAAATCTAGCTGGGTGATTTTGGGTTAGTCACTCTCTGTCTCATCCCAATCCACCTCCAGTTTGTTGTATGGAAACTAGGCAGGAACATTATATAAGGCCCTTTGAGTTATATATAATAATACCGTATGATGTAAATACCATTTGTCCCAAGTTAGGCAATTGACATGCTTTTTTGTCATCAGTTTTTTGTTTTTCAGAATCGCTTGGGTTTATACTAAGATCTGAACACTTATTCCGAAAGTTAAACTAGTAAAATTGTCCTATACCAATAATTCTGGGGAAAAAATCTGAAATCAGAATATTTTACAATGTCCTCCAGCTTGCTCAACTGGTGTTTGATATCATAAAACACTGTCTGCAAAAAGTCCTCAAAAACTTTCGAAAAACATTAACAGTTTGCAACATAGTGGGCTAACATAGCTGAAAACATTTACTATACTATGGGTATTTATTACACTTCAAAATTGTATTTTTATAGATTGTTCTTTTCCAAAATTACCTTACTTGTTAATTGTCCATTGACTGCAAAATGTTTCCTTTTGTGTGGGATGGCTTCCTAGTGGTAAACTGAGTTGGTATATAAACAATATAAGTGTGAGTGTGTGTGCGCGCGCGTGCTAATGTATATATAAAGGTATCTTTCCAGTTTTGAATGATGTCTCAGCAATAAGAAAGGCACGAGATATGTTTTCAGCCATCTATTGCCATATAACAGGTATATTGATCAAAAGAATATAATTGTATGAAAGTGTTAAATTCTGTCTCAGACACAAATTCATGTGTAATGACTGATTCCCAAATTATAAAAATTTTAGAACATTGGAAAAGCCTATTTTAATGAAGCATTTCATCTCTACCATGATGATTTACTTATTCCTGTTCTGTACAAATGCAGTGAGGTAATACATATGAAATGTTTCTGTAAATGTTTATAAATAGGACTTCAGGAAAAACAATTACTACCAACCTGCCTTCAATCATGGACCTGTGTACTGCATGAGTCAAAAAGAGGGCTGTGAAAATATTTACAGACCCCCTCACGTCCCGGACATAAACTGTTTCAACTCCTACTCTCAAAACAACGCTATAGAGCATGCACATCAGAACAACTAGATACAAGGGCAGTTTTTTCCCGAATGCCATCACCCCGTTAAACAAATATTTCCCTCAACGCTGCCCAACTATTTACAAATTCTGCACTACTATTACTATTCTGTCCTCTATAATTACTGACTGAATGTATAAAGGCAGATAGATAACTCCACAAAGTCTTTTTATTGGTTCATCAGGCATCCTCAAGATAACTCACAGTTATGATGAGATTCTTCTCAGTGTCCAATTCTTTGCATATCTGTCTTTCTGGGTAAAAAGATGGTTATCTCTCATCCCGATAATGAAGGAGCAAAGGATGAAGCACCAGCATGCTGCTGGGATCCAAGCAAGAGTGAAGAAACCTCCCCCAACCCACCAAGGGTCAATTCAGTGACCAATCAGGGTTACAGATGTGGCCACATGACATGAACTACATTTCCCAGGATACCTTAATTACATTTACCATGATGCATTCACTTAAGGGGACAGCTCCCAATTACTAACTAACTATACCAATTCCCATTAACTATAACTGGCTAGACAGCACACTCCCCACCTGGAATTATAAATTCCACTACTAACTAAAGAGCAAGTAACTGTATAACTAAGATGAACAGTAAAGAGTAATACTAACTGAATAGCAGTTAACTATATAACTAAGATAAACAGTTAACTATATAACTAAGAGAAAAAGTAAATAGTAATATACTATCAAACAAAGCAAAGCATGCAAAGCTTGAGGTTCAATCTTCAAGTTCAGCTTTTCTCCGCAGCAACACTAGGTTGGTGATCGGTCTGGTGTAGAGCGACTTTGTGAAAGTCTGCTGGTCGCTTCTGGCAGCCGTTTAGGGTAGACAGGTACTCTTGCTCCCAACAATTCTAAGGGGTGTTGACAAGTGGTTGAAATGGATGTTGCGAAGACATCTGCCTGTGTAGAGCATCTTAGTGAAAGTCTGTTGGTCGCTGGTGGCTGTTTAGTGTTTCTTAGTGAAAGTCTGCTGGTTGCCAGCGGCCTTTTAGGGTGGACCTGTATTCTTGTTTCCGATGGTGCCAAAGAGCATCAGAAGGCTGTCGGGATGGGTGGTGTGAAGGCATCTGCCTGGGCTGAGGCTTGCATCTGATCGACATAGACTATTCCTGAGATTCTCCATCCCAGTTCTGTCTTGAAGGCAAAGGGGGTGCCCCTAGGGCCTCTGACTACTTCAATGTAAGCTAAAGCATCAGGGGCATCTACTCCTAACAAGAGCAAAATCTTGGCTTCAGAATCTAAAGCAAGAATGTGACAAGCCACGTGCTGCAGGTGAGGTATGCTGCTTGCTACCTCTGGAGTTGCAATCTTGCTGCAGTTGTCTGGTATCCCATCCCATTCTAACACAGGCGGCAGTGGGAATCGGGAACTCCCATCTAATGACTCTATGCAGAGTCCAGTAGCTCTCTTCCCCGCCATGCTTCGTGGTGCAGTGCACATTGATATTGTGAAGTGCACCTCTTCCTTCTGAACATCAAAGAGGTCGAAGAATGCAGACCTGGCCAGCGAGCGATCTCTGAGGATCCAGTATTACAAACATCTTCACTGCTTCTTCTGGGCATCCTTCGGGGTAGATGTTGGCTAAGCAGATCTGACGACACGAGCGAGGGGATGGTGTGTTATCACACACCGCCGTGCAATTGACATTCACCACTGGCTCCGCGTGTGCTTCTGTAGCACATTGAGGCTCCTTGGCTGGAGGAGGGTTATGTGTTGTCTGCTGTGGTGGCTCTGAGTCTGGATGCAGAGCGGCTGGGGGCTCATTGCTGTTGCATAGATCAGGGGTCCCCAACCGCCGGTCCACGGACCGGGACCGGTCCGCAGAACAAGTCTTACTGGGCCGCTGCTGGTTGCTGGGCGCCGCCATCTTTTTTTGGTAAAAAAGTGCTTCCGGTGAGCTTTTCCGGGTAGAAAGCTCACCGGAAGCACTTTTTCATCAAAAAAAGATGGCGGCGCCCAGTTGATGCC